CCCTTTCACTGTGACCTTTGTGGTTAACATATTGTGGGTATATTCTTGGTCTTCTCCTTCCCAATTGATAGCAACCGGACCGGTGGCGGCATAGGGTGGTGTCGGAGTTGTCTCAAGTTTTGGTGTCGATGTTTTTGGTAAACTGAGCCCGGTTTTGTATGTGTTGGCTGTGGAATTCTGCCCTACATCTGGTATCAGAGCCAGTAGAAGCTTTCCCGGCCTGAAAATTGACAAAAATCGTCGGCAATCGCGATTTGGGGTTGAAGAACCGTGGCTGCAACCTCGATTTTCGGCCAATCCAGCCACTTTCCGGCGAAACCGATCCCATATTCGGGATCAGCAGGCTAAGGCGCTCCCTCGGCAGTGGAGCGTGGCGGCGGCGACGGCGATCGGCGGCGGCGGTTCTGGGCGAGCTTCCTTCGGGTAGTTTGCTTATTTTAATCCCCTGAACGCACTGACACTGTTTATTTTTTGTTTCAGGTTATACAGAAAAAGTTGGACAATGTTGCCCTCGGTGGATCGACGGTTGAATCTGCATATATCTACTGAATTACTTTAGGTCAAGATTTTAGGCCAAGATTGCGGCCCTAAAGCAGTAGATTCGCATCTCTCTCGATAATACGGACTCAGACACGTCCGCTCTGGTAAATTGACTTAACTCGTTAATTTTTTCAGCATTAGCGTGTCACCGTGTGGGGTGACAATTGGTTGGGGGTTGTCATTGCTTGGCAACCATTGCTTGTGCTAGAATTAGGGTTATGTGCTCTTAATTGATCCTTTTGATTGAGTATTTGTTTTTTGGGTTTAAAATCAGTTTTGTAATTCTTAGTGATCAAAATTACTGTGGGACTAGTTATTGCTAGACGTATTTTTTTGCTGCTCTGTTATTTCCGCTGCTTACTTATTCCGTTAGAAATACCGTGACTTTACCCTTTCGAACATTCCCTTGATCTAAGACCGCGAGTATTACGAAACCCTGGGAATCTAGAACGATGTATATTGTCTGTGACCCCTAGGACTACTTTGTGTGGTTTGATTGTGGTTTGTGCATTTTTTGGCTATTGTGTGAAGATGACAACTCATAGTTTTGATTTGGGAATTTTTAACGGAAAGGGTGACTTTGCTATTTGGCAACAAAATATAGGGTATTTTAGTCCAACAAAAGGTTTCAAAAGCCATTGAAGGCAATTTTTCAACTGATTTTTCACCAGAACAAAGAGAAGAAGCCGATGAGCTTGCTTATACCTCAATTATCTTACACTTGTCTGACGCTGTTTTAAGAAAGGTGGGTAAATTAAAAAACACCAAAGAACTTTGGAAGAAATTAGAAGACTTGTATTTGCTTAAGTCTACACCTAATAAGCTTTACCTGCTTGAACGTTTTTTCAGTTTCAAAATGGATTCCTCAAAGGATCTTGATGACAATCTAGACGTGTTTAACAAATTGGTGCAAGACATAGTTAATTGTGATGAGACTGTGTCCGAAACTTATAAGGCTATAATTTTGCTAAATGCAGTCCCTGATTCCTATAAGGAAGTTAAGAATGCCATTAAGTATGGTAGAGACACGTTAACACCTGAAATTGTCATAAATTTCCTTAGAAGTAAAGAAATGGAAATTAAGGCTGAAAAACATGATAAAAGGAATGGT